TACTTCATCGTGCTGATGCATTCTGATGCTGTTACTTGCTCTTAGGTGGATATTTCTGCTTTCAGGGTTGTGATAGCTGCACAGGAGGGCATCTCTGCTGGCATGGTTGAGTTGGGCACTTTGTCAATGGTGCACTTTGGGGGTGGGCATGGCTCAGGACACTTTGGCAGTGAGCATGGCTCAGGACATTTAGGTGGACACACAGGAAGCGGCTGATAGGGCTGCTTGCACTGCTGCTGCTGGTAAGACATCTTTCCTACATGTCTGGGAATCTGAAAAAAAACCATGAGACAATATTTATGTGGCAATTTCTCTGCTTGAAAAATAATCCACATTTCTAAGGCGCTTAGCCATTACTATCCCTTCACCAAAGATATACTTTGAACTCCTAACATCATATCACTCATTCTCTCTGACTTCCACTCTCTTCCCCTTTAGTGGCTGGTAATTGGTACCTCTTTTATCTTTTTTACCAGTGTCTATCATTTCACATGCCTCTTTCCAAAGACAGAAGTGCCTCTCTCTGTCCCGCAGCATCAAAAAGGGTGAATGGACATAAGATAACTGAAAGGGAAAGACCAAGTTGCTGAAATTCTTGCTAACCCCACAAGCAATTCTAAACAACCTCATCAACATGAAGACTGACTAATGGTATAAATGCCTTTGGTACTGAGGGATAATTGCCAGGCTCAGACCCTGCCTTCAAGAGGCTTATATGTGTAACCAGAACCTTTGGAATTCTAATGGGATTTTCTCTCTTTAGCATAAACACAGCCAGGAGATAATTCCTTTTCCTTGATTTACTTCAATTCAACCTTGTTCCATAATTATTTTCCCATATGCCTTTAAGTATAATCCACCAAAAATGCTTAAAAAATTAATGCCATTAACTCCACCTCCAAATCAAAAATTTCTACCTCAAGCTGAACTGATGAAACAAAGCATGTAAGTATCAACTGGTAAAAACAGATTTTTTTTTTACCACAGTAATACTCCAAAACAGGCATCACCTTCAAGAAATCAAATTCACCTGATCTCCTACATAGGTCAAATATCATAAGAAAAAGAGGATGTCAGTTGGATGATGGAGTGCCCCTTTCTAGGACCTGGTTGTCCCTCGCACACAGGCAGAGCATCATAAGACTGGCCTGTACCAATTAGTTATTTCCCAAACAAAATGAACTCCTCTCGTAATTTTAAAAGTAGCTTGTCATACACATTCTTACAGGAAACATTCTATTCTTGTATCCTCCCCAGGGCTCAGTGACTCACTTGCAGCTCTACCACATCTGAGAGTTTCAGTTCATTGTAGCAGTTGAAAAATTTGGGCAAGTTGCTAACTGGCTGAAAAGAGTTGTCTTCCTGGCTGAGGATGGTGCACCTCATCTGTGTCCCCTTTCATAAAGCCTTCTGCATTAGAAAACTGATTGTCGCTCTTTGTCATTCAGTTTTGTGTCCAGAGACAGTAGAAAATTTGACTCTCAGAGCTAGCAAACTGGCCATATCTCCATGCTCATTCTCAGATGTATTCAAACATACTTTCTGTCTTAGCCATGTCATGCTGCTATAATAAAAAATACCATAGGCTGAGTGGCTTAAACAACAAACATTTACTTCCCACAGTTGTAGAGGTTGGAAAATCCAACATCAATGTGCCAGCAGACGCAGTGTCTGGTTCATAGACTGCCATCGTCTCTTTGTGTCCTCATATGGTGGAAGGGGTGAGGGAATTCTCTGAGGTCTATTTTATAAGGCACTAATCATATTCATGATGTAATCACTAACCAAAGACCCCACTTTCTAACACCATCACATTGAGAGTTAGGATTCCAACAACATATGAATTTGAGGGGACACAAACATTCAATTCTCTAGCTCTTCCTCTTTGTCTAGGGCTATCCAGAAAACAAATTCCTTAGATGTCTTCAAATTTTCCAAAAGAGTTAGGAACACCCTGTGTTAGCACCATAGCCAAGGTCATGCTCCTCTGCAGAGAGCACACATGTTGCTATCCTAGCCTTCATCACAACTGTAACACAGCACTGGTCCATGGTCCACTAAGGTCCACTAGGATCTCCAGGCCAAGTTCTGCCATTCAGTCCTCCATTTTTGGCACTATCCTGACTGAGTACAGGTAGGAGGTTTTCTACTCAAAGTATGTTCTCAGATCATAATTGTGTTAAATTCAAAACCAATAATGGAAAGTTATTTGGAAAATTCCCAAATATATGAGAAGTAAACAGCACATTCCTAAATATCCCAAGGGTCAAAAATCAAGTCTCAGGGGAAATTGAAAAATTATTTTGAGCTGTATGAAAATATGTCATTTAAAAATATGCAAAAGTCAGCTAAAGCAGAGGTTAGAAGGAATTTTATAGAATTAAATGCTTATGTTAGAAAAGAATAAAAGTCTGAAATCAGTAGTGTAGGTTTCCACTGTAAGAAACTAAAAAAACATAAGAGTAAATTGCACCCAAAGCAAAAATGAAGAAGGAAATAATAGAGATGAGTAGAAATCAATGATACTGAAAACAGAAAAACAATAGAGAATATCAATAAAACAAACATCTGGTTCACTGAAAAGATCAATATAATTGATAAACCTCTAGCGAGACTGACCAAAAAATAGAGATGACACAAAATATCACTATCAGAAATGAAAGAGGGGACATCAATACAGACCCTACAGACATTAAAAGGATAAGGTAATAATATAAACAAATCTATGTCCATAAATACATTAACTTAGATGAATGTACGAAGTCATTGAAAGAAACAAATTACCTAATCTTGCTCAAAAGAAATAGACAACCTGAATTGTATTACATCAATTAAAGAAATTGAATATGTAGCTAGAATCCTTACAACAATGACAGCAATCTAGGCACAGATAGGTATACTGGTAAATTTTGCCACATTTTAAAAGAAATAATATCAATTCTACATAATATCTTCAGAAGAACAGAAGATGAGAGTATACTTTCCAACTCATTCTCTAAAGCCAGTATTACCCTAATAACAAAAACAAAGACATTACTAGTAAACAACTGATAATGTCTCTCCTGAACAAAGTTGCAAAAGCTCTCAACAAGTATTAGTAAGTCAAAATCGCCAGTATGTAAAAGAGTAATGCATCATGACCCAGTGGGATTTATCCCAGGAATTCAAGGTTGGTTCAACATTTGGAAATAAATCAGTGTAACTTACCATATTAATAGACTAAAGAACCAAAAACATATAATCATCTTAACACAAGCAGAAACAACCATTTGGTAAAATTCAACATCCATTTATAATTTTAAAAGTAATAAATAAATTTAATTCAACAAACTAGGAATAAAGAGGACATTTCTAGACCTGAAAAAAGTTATATTTGAAATACTTACAGCTAACATCGTACTTTAAAGATGAAAGTCAGAAGGCTTTCCTCCTAGGATAAGGAACAGATTTTCCTCCTAGGATAAGAGGCCAGATTTTCCTCTTTCACCATTCCTATTACCATCATATTGGAAGCCCTAGGTAGTGCAATAAAACAAAAAATAATATAATTAAAATAAAATTTTAAAAAGAATCCAGGAGATAAAAGGAACAGATTAAGATAGAATCTCCCAAAGAAAAGACTTTGCAATGTACCCACGTAGCTGCTGCCATTCCCCTCATTACCTATGATGAGGGCTTTGATCAATTATGCAAGTAGGTAAATGAGTTTTAACAATCTGAGTAACCATGGTCAATGCTAGAATATAAATGTATCGTTTGGAAGTAAATAGGTATTTTAATTGTTACATTCTTCCCCTTTAGTTGGATAAATATTCCATATTTTTCCTAGGAGTCATTTTCTTCTATATTTATAAAAACACAAACACTGGACTTTTTAAATGGGAAGTCGGACAACTCAAGGTATTGATTTCAGGGGAGAATCAAAACAAAGGATCAAGGTTTTTTGTGCTGTGATTGTGAGATTCAGAAGAGCACATTGAAAAAAATGGATGAGCTGATCTTTCTACTTACAGGGACCCTTCTATCCTGCCTCACTGCTTCTAGAACTTTAACAAGAATCCATATAGGATACCACAGCAGCAGAGCTCAGAACAGCGGTCTAATGTTAGGAGAGCCTGGGAAACCTCTGAGATGGGCACTGAGCGTAGGAGCGAGGCAGGCGTGACAGTGCAGGACTAGGCGAAGAAATATGAGAAACATTTCTTTATGTATATTAACCCTATCAATTATCCTTAATCAGGTAATATATTAACACTAATTATAATATGGTGACTACTATTTATTGAAAGCTTGCTGTGTGCCAGACACTATGCTAGATACATTACATACTTTATCCCATTTAATGTGGTGATTAAAAGAAAATTAGTGATTTATTAGGTGATTAAAAACAACATAAAGAAACTATCAGCATCAATCGGTGATTTCATGCCCCCGCAAAAAACCCATGGGGCCAGCCCCGTGGCAGAGTGGTTAAGTTCCCATGCTCCACTTCAGCAGCCTGGGGTTCACCAGTTCAGATCCTGGGCACGGACCTACATACCACTCATCAAGCCATGCTGTGGAAGCATCCCACACAGGAAAACTAGAATAACATACAACTAGTACATTCCACTATGTACTTGGGCTTTGGGAGAAAAAAAAAAAAGAGGAAGATTGGCAACAGATGTGAGCTTAGGGCCAATCTTCAAAAAAAAACCCACAACTCGAGTGATTTCACGTCGACTCATGTAACTCTACACTCCAGCATTCCCGTAGGCATTTGGACCTCAGTAGGAACAATTTGTGAGCTATGAGAAATCACAGATTACTTGAAGATGAATTGTTTAAATTTCCTTTCAAGGGGGGACAATTGACAAATTATCTGTTAGCAGTTAAAAGTAAACTTCCATGTTTGCCAATGAACTTTAAAACTGACTCATCAATATTTGAACCTTTTCATTAAAACGTTTAAATAACCAAATACCTTTTACAGTCATAATGTTGCAAACATAATTTATTATGTTAGAATATTCTGCATAAGCAAGGAGACATGATAGGGGAGAATTTAGTAGACATAAAATTTAGTGCATAATATTCACTAATACTTGAACAAAATCCCAAACCCTTACAAAGTTCAACAATTCCCTGCATGATCCGGCCTCTGGCTACTTCATTCTCCATCACTCTCCCTCCTACAAACTCTACTACAGTTACTGGCCCCTTCAACGTCCTATGGCCATTGTCTCCCTTACTATTCCCTCTCCTTGGAAGAATATACACCTCAAACCCCCATGTCTTGCTTATTTCACTCACGGCTCTCAGACCAGCAACCCCCAATTCCCTTCCCCATTACTCTCTATCCTCTGACTCCGCTTTCATTTTTTTGAGAATATTTACAGTATTACCAACTGATATTATATGTTAGCTTAAATATTCATTAACTAGTATGTTTCGTTCAGTATAATTTAACCTCCAAAAACTCAAAGTATTTATATGTTTTGTTCACCACTGTATCCCTTGCACCTAAAAGAGTACCAGGTGCAAAGTACACACTCAACAAATGTATTTTTAACGGATGAATGACTAAAGAAATGGATAGATTCTTACGACAACCCTGAGTTGAAGGTATCATTTTCTCTCTCCAAATAAGAACACATCATTTGTAACAAGCAGAGTTGGCATTGAGCTAATAAAAAAGGACTTATTTCTGTACTCAATCTAAACAGACACGTTTCAAGCCAAACCCAATGAACTATGATTACTACGTCATCTGAATTCAGAGATCTGATAAAAAAACAAATAATTGCCTACTAGTCTGATACAGCTAACAACCAGGATTAAAGAAGAAAGGCATTTGTTCCATCATGAAACATGCTTTATTAGGGAAACAGGAGCAAAGCTATGTTTCCCAGACCACAGAAAGGGTTGCCCAGATCTCAGACACACAGAAAAGAAAGGCTGCATTTTAAGGAAGTTAGACTTGTTCCTGTTGCTCTTTTATCTGGGGCTCTAGGGCTCTGGCATCCCCAAGAGTGGCCCTATCTCAGACAGGAATCTGACCCTAAAAAGAAAGAGAGTTCCTTCAGGATTAAGTCTCTTTTATGTCAAGCATCACTGCAGGAAGAGCAGGATAGAGGCTCAGGGAGTACCATCCGCCACCAGGACGGGCTTCAGAGAAGAGACGACGCTGCTGGAGATGGGAGGAACTATTTGTTTTTCTTGCATTATGGCCTTAATGGCTTTTGCTCTTGCTGCTTTTGGGTGGTCACTTCTGCTGGCATGGTGGTGGTGGCTGCACAGGAGGACACTTCTGCTGGCAGAGTTGAGGTGGAATCTCCGGAGGTGGGCATGGCTCTGGACACTTAGGAGGTGGGCATGGCTCTGGACACTTGGGAGGTGGGCATGGCTCTGGACACTTGGGAGGTGGGCACACAGGAGGGGGCTGGCAGGGCTGCTTGCATTGCTCTTGCTGCTGATAGGACATCTTTCTGGATATGAGGGAACCTGAAAGAAATACAAATGTCATTGCTCACAGGTGGAACACTTGCAGACAGAGCGAGCCAAAACCCATCAAATAAGCAAAGTTATCTCCAACGATATTCTTTGGTCTTCTAACTCTCTCTTCAAGACTTTCTGTGGCTCTCCTTCTTTTTCTCGTTAATATCAGTATCTTGGGCTAACTTTTCTCACTTCTCTTGACATTTTTCAATGACAAAATTGTCTCCTCTCTCTTGAGATAGCAACATTAGTGGGTGAATGCGAACACAATCTGGAGGAAAAAGTTGCTGAATTTCTGGCCAATATCAAAACAAATCTCTACCCACATCAGCTCCCATAAGGCCATGATTAAGGTCTAACTAAGCCATTTTGGGTCTATTCAGAGTCTCTGAAACAAAGACAAGGTCTGATCAGAGAGAACTGCCGAGGCTCAGACTTGCCCTCAATGGGCTCATACAAGAGGCTGGCAATACAGTAAGAGACTCTTTCTTTAATATGTATGACCAGAGAGAAACTCTTGCCCTCCTTTTCTTTCAACGCAATATTATTCCCTAAACTACTTCTTGCTTATGGACACCAACCTTGTGAAAGAAAGGGGCATAAGTAATAAACAAAAAAATAACCCACTTAGACCTTTATCTGGGGAATGAAAGTCTGACAGTTTTCATTCCCCAGATAAGAATATGCACATTATTCCTTAAAAATAGCTATTTCTGCTTACAAATTAATTCTAAACATCGTCTCAGTTCCCCCAAGCAGACAGAACCCCCCCAAAAATCAGACTCACTTGATTCTCCGGAGCTGTTGGGGATTTGAGTGTGAAGAGGATAGCAACAATGTAGCAGAGTGCCCCTTTATATGGCTAAGTCGCCCACACCCTCAGGAAGTGAAGAAGCCTAAGACCGGGCTGGACCAGTTATTGCTAAACCATATTCAATCCACCTGAAATTCCCAAAATGTCTTGTCACCCTGATTACCGGAAACTCCCTGCTCTGGGATTGTCTCCATTGCGGCAAGGGCTCAATGAATTGCCTTAGGCTCTCTCTTGACTAGCAATTCCAGTTCCGTGTGACAGATGAAGAATTTGAGCAGTTCTCTAACTGAAGGCCCAGCTAGTGATTCCTTGATTGGGCTAGTGTCACCTACTTCCCTGTCCCATGCCTCAGCACACCTGTTTCAGAAACCTGTGTGCCCATTTATATTTTAACTGCCGGACATTTAGCTTTGTGCCCTTGAATGACAGAAGCTTGGATTCTTGGAGGCTAGCAACATGGCCTCTCTTCTCTCTCTGTCAGCAGCACTTGTAACTCGCTTCCGCTTTGTCTAAGGCTAGCTGCTCACATTAACTGGTTCCTTTTAACATGGATGGAGACAATGTGTGGTCTCCACAAAGAGCAACAAGACTCCCTGCACCTGAGCTGTAGCCAGGATCCAACGCCCACAGGCTGTGCTATTCTGCAGAGCACATCAAGATTGTGGGACCTTATGGCAGTTGTAACATGGGGCTGGTCCATTTTCCGCTTCATATCTACCAGGTTGCCAAGGCTATTTTCTACCAAGCTAGCCCTCAAGATCTTCATTCTCTTATTTGAAACCATGTGGGAATTTTCAACTCATAGCTCACTAAGAAGAATTGAAATGTCTGTTCTTATCGAATAGCACGCAACAGATCTGTGATCGCTGCTGAAACATGTAAGGGTATTAGAGGAGTGTTCAGACTTATTCCTTGCCTCATCTTTTCTTAACATCTCTTGAATATTCAATCTACTGATCCCCCCACCCCACCATTCAACTCACTGATGTTTTTGTTAAATAAAAGCAACCTTGTTGGCATAAAAATCTCCTAGTAAGTTCTAAGTACAGTTTAAATAATCACATTAATAATTTAATTACTATTATTACTGCTACTTACTTATTATTTATTTATTAATATTTTATACATAAATATACTAATTACTGTTGTCAATGTTATCAATAATTTACGCTTCACAAGGTAACCAGCTATCACTTGTTTTGCACCTCTTTCAATATGCAAGGAAGAAGCTTGATAAAATGGAAATGCACTAGTGGAAAAATCTGAAGACAGAAGTTTAAACCTAGATGTATCACTGGCTAGAATCATGATGAGGGCAAACCATTTCTCAACTTTCTCTTCCTTCATACGTTTGTAATTAGCTACAGACAACAGTTGTAAGAATTATTCCTAATGCTTGAAAGGTTTCAAAACTTGCCTTGGCTTCCCATTGTTAAAGCCAATGATCACTAACCAAACTATCAGTTCTTCCCTGGCCTTCTTTATTTCCTCTTATAACCCTACGAGTCCGCCTGTTTCCCTCTCATCTTTAAAGCCATCACTACCGCTCATGTTTTAAGTTTTTCTTTCTAGTACTAGATGAAGAATGGGGCCAGATACCCCAGCTCTTTCTTTGTTTAATTCCACCAAGAACAAGTAGATGTCTCTTTTCACTTTTAAGGATATTACTAGTAACTATCAATAAGGGAAACTGACAAAAAAGACCAAAATTTGAAAGTATTCGTTTATTCAGGCCTTCGGTTCATCATCATTGGGTCTAGGCACTTATAAAATCATTAGCAATGCCTGCTCTAAGAAGCATCAACATATCGGGAAAAACAAGCAAACACAGAAACAGATGATCAAAGCATGTTATTCCTAATACTTTCATGGAGTTGGTTTCTGATTAAATCATTTATGGATCTACATAATGAAATACTAGGCAAAAATAAAATGTGATATTCTTAAAGAATATATCATTATATGAAAAATGCAAGTAACAAAACATGTGTGCAGTGTAGCTATATTTATATTCAATGCATATGGAGTTATGTGTGTATATATAAATGTAAATATCTTACACCATGCAGAGAAAATAAACTGCACTACTATTTGATATTTTAGCAATAGCTCACACTTATTGAAAGTTTACTATGTGCCAGGTATTGTTTGAGGACTTTATATGTATGCATTAACTCATCTTTCCTCACATCAGTCCTGTATATGAAAAGTTAATTTCTCCTTCCTCACTCCAGCTCTTGCTCTGCCACTCTACAACATGAAACATATGTGAACTTCCTTGTCATTTTCTCAGGAAGAATTTTAGAACTGCTTCAGGAGAAACTTCATTGAATATTCCCAGGAGGCAATAGTAAAACTGCTCACATCCTTCCAACAACCATGTTGAGGCAGCTAAGCTGGAAATTTAATTCAGAAAACCTTTCTTGAAAAAGCAGTACAATCATTTTTTCTCTGTTGCTAGCATCTTTGCTGCTTTGGATATTTAAATTTTCAATTTCATACTAATACACAAGTGCTAGCAAAAGTTCAAGGATAACAGAGCAAGCACACAACAAAAAATTTCATGAAACATCTAGAATAAAAAAGGATGCTTAGTTCAGTAACTTGTTATTTTTATGAATAAAAGCTCTTGAATATTTTCAATTTTTTAGTAGATGAGAAATTCACACTTTGAAAAATTCATACAGTACACAAATAAATGCAGTGAAACTTTTTCCCACCCCGTCCCCCTAGCCATCTGGTTTCCCACCCTAGGAAATCACTGTTAGCAATCTCTCGTGAGTCCTTTCATCCACTGTAGTTTTATATTTCATTCATATAGTAGTATCATGCTTTCTACTACTAAATATGTTCCTAGTTCTTATGATGAGATTATTAATATTTTATGGAATTCTTCGGAGTAATCAGTGATGTCCAGATGCTTCCCAAAATGAATAAGTTTAAATAGCACTCACCTCAAAATAGAAGGCGTGAGCATCTCTTGGGGAAACATTCACCAGTTATCAGACTAAAGGATCCAAAACTTAGAGCCATTCTGATGGGAGTGAGGTGATATCTCGTTGTAGTTTTGATTTGCATTTCCCTCGTAGTGATGTTGAATATCTCTTCATGTGTCTGTTGGCCATCTGTATATCTTCTTTGGAGAAGTGTTTGTTCAGATTTTTTGTCCATTCTTTAATTGGGTTGTTAGATCTTTTTGTTGTTGAGATGTATGAGTTCTTAGTATATTTTGGATATTAACCCCTTATCAGATATATGGTTTGCAAATATCTTCTCCCAGTTGTTAGGTTGTCTCTTCATTTTGTTGATGGTTTCCTTTGCTGTGTAGAAGCTTTTTAGTTTGATGTAGTCCCATTTGTTTATTTTTTTATTGTTTCCCTTGCCCAGTCAGACATGGTACTTGAAAATATGCTGCTAAGACCGATCTCAAAGAGCATACAGCCTATGTTTTCTTCCAGAAGTTTCATGGTTTCAGGTCTTACATTCAAGTCTTTAATCCATTTTTGAGTTAATTTTTTGTGTATGGTGTAAGATAATGGTTCTACTTTCACTCCTTTGCATGTGGCTGTCCAGTTTCCCCAACACCATTTATTGAAGAAACTTTCCTTTCTTCATTGTATGTTCTTGGCTCCCTTGTCAAAAATTAGCTGTCCGTAGACGTGTGGGTTTATTTTTGGGCTCTTGATTCTGTTCCATTGATCTGTGTGTCTGTTTTAGTGCCAGTACCATGCTGTTTTGATTACTATAGCTTAGTAGTATAATTTGAAATCAGGGAGCGTGATACCTCCAGCTTTGTTCTTTGTTCTCAAGATTCCTTTGGCTATTCAAGGTCTTTTGTTGTTCCATATAAATTTGAGGATTCTTTGTTCTATTTCTTGAAAAATGTCATTGGAAATTTGATAATGATTGCATTGAATCTAGATTGCTTTAGGTAGTACGGACATTTTAACTATGTTAATTCTTCCAGTCTAAGAGCATGAAATATCTTTCCATTTCTTCCTGTCTTCAATTTCTTTCAACAATGTTTTACAGTTTTCAGTGTATAGATCTTTCTCCTCTGTGGTTGTTTATTCCTAGGTATTTTATTCTTTTTTGTTGCAATTGTAAATGGGATTGTGTTCTTAATTTCCCTTTCTGCTACTTCATTGTTAGTCTATAGAAATGCAACTGATTTTTGTATGTTGATTTTGTATCCTGCAACTTGACTGTAGCCATTTATAATTTGTAAAATTTTTTGGTGTATTCTTTAGGGTTTTCTATATATAAAATCATGTCATCTGCAAATAGTGACTGTTTTACTTTTTCCTTTCCAATTTGGATCCATTTCATTTTTTTCTTGCCTGATTGCTCTGGCTAGGACTTCCAATACTATGTTAAATAAGAGTGGGAAAAGTGCGCATCCTTGTCTAGTTCCTGTTCTTAAAGGGATAGCTTTCAATTTTTCTCCATTGAGCATGATTTTAGCTGTGGGTTTGTCATATGTGGCCTTTATTATGTTGAGGTGCTTTCCTTCTATACCAATTTTATTCAGAGTTTTTACCATAAATGGATGCTGTATCTTAAATACTTTCTCTGCATCTATTCAGATGATCATATGATTTTTATCCTTCATTGTGTTAAGTTGGTGTATCACGTTGTTTGATTTGCAGATGTTGAATCATCCCTGCATCCCTAGAATAAATTCCACTTGATCACGGTGTATGATCTTTTTAATGTATCACGATATTCGATTTGCTAGTATTTTTTTGAGGACTTTTACATTGAAGTTCATCAGCAGCATTGGCCTGTAATTTTCTTTTTCTGCCTTGTTTTGGTATCAAGGTAGTGTTGGCTTCATAGAATGAGTTATGAAGCTTCCCTTCCTCTTCAATTTTTTGGAATATAGGAAATAACAAGTGTTTGAGAGGATGTGTAGGAAAGGGAAGTCTCATACACTGATGATGGCAGTGCAAACTGGTGCAGCCACTGTGGAAAACAGCATGAAGTTTCCTCAAAAAATTAAGAATAGAACTACCGTACAATCCA